GTCAATCTTCACAGAAGCAAAGTCCAAACCACACCCACTGCCTGGAGTCCATTCTGACCCACAGCGCCCCTAGAGGACAGAGTGGAACTGCCCACTGGGTCTCCAAGGTTGTCAATCTTCACAGAAGCAAAGCCCAAACCACACCCACTGCCCTGGAGTCCATTCCGACCCACAGCGCCCCTAGAGGACAGAGTGGAACTGCCCACAGGGTCTCCAAGGCTGTCAATCTTCACAGAAGCAGATCACCTCATCTGTCTCCCACAGAAAGTCTGATGGGTTTGAACCACAGACCTCTCAGTCAGTAGCCCAGTGCTTTAACCTCTGCACCACCAGGACTCCTTAACTGAGTGCTAGCACCTTGAATGATAGGCACAGCCCAGGCCCAGAAGCTTCCAGGCTTCACCTTGGTACATTTCCCTGTTTACATGGAAACCAGTGACCCCAGGAGTCAGCATTGACCCCACGGCCCTGGGTTTGGTTTCTCATTTTACGCAGCTCAACTGCCAGAGAGAGTAGCTGCTTCTGATCTGAACGAGGCTGACCTACGAAAAAGTGTGAGTTTGGGAACAGCGCTGACCGGGATCGGTCCGCTTGGCTGACAGTCCTCATCGCCCTCCGTCCCTCATGGATGTCGAGTGCCTGTCACTACGAGGAGTCAGTTCTATCAGTTCATGATCCGTGGGCACAGATGGAGTTAAATCCAAAGTCGTGGGTGGGAGGTCTGCCTGCCGTGATGTCATCCAGGTGCCCAAGATAAAGGACCGTTCATTCTGTCATAAGTCATTCCCTTCCACCGCACCTATTCTTGCCACTCCTGACCTGGGCACGGAGGACACTCAGGAAGGACCTTCCCCACTGCAGTACCCAGGCTAAGTGCTCAGGAGGAAACACTGGAGAGGGGCCGGTGCTGTCGGGGCCAAGGGGTTGGGGTGGTAAAGGCGCAGCCAGGGAAGGGCCCCCGGGGAGGGGCGTTCACAGAAAGACCCGCGCAGGCGCCACAGGTGGACTTCTCCAAGTGCAGGCGCAACGTTCGCCCAGCGCCTCCCCATCCACTCAGAGCCAGTCCTCCAGTTCCAGGGAAGTGCCCCCCGCTGCAGCTCAGACCTGTGGTCTTCTGGTCCTTGTGGCTGTGAGGGAGACGTCTCAGGAATCCGGCTACGCACCTAGAGAGTCACTGACGTCACAAATCTCCAGGTGGTCACCAAGCGTCAGATCCTCAGTTCGGTGCCTTTTCTTCTTTTCCGTCTGTGAAAAGGGCACAGAGGCAGCGTCTTCCTCTGACTTCCTCCAGCTTCACAAGGGGGAGAGAGAACCACCAGCAGCAGCCCAAGGCTGATTCCTGTGAAGCCAGACAGGCCACCACCCTCCAGCCTTTTCCCAACCCTGACACCAGCCATCCCTCCCATGGCACTCACTACTTCTCTGCTGGGTTCAATAATTCGTTGCAATGGCCACACAGAACTCACAGGCAATACTCACGATTATGGGGTTTATTAGCAACAGACTACAACTCAGGTTTAAGAATGTTGTCAGGATACAATTTCATCAGGACAGTCTCCCCTTGCCCTCAGCACACCTCTCTGGCCCTGGACCTCTCGGCCTGGCCTCTGCCCTGCTTGGGCAAGTGTTACAAAGCTCTTTAGCTCTGCACCTGACCTAGGTGCACCTCACTCCGCCAGCTAGCCTCCTGCCCCAAGGTGCTCAGCTTTCTCTCTCTGTGGGCCGGCAAGCCCGCTGCTCATCTCATGACTCTTGGCTTCTCAGCCGATGTCTCGCTGCCTGTCATCTCAGCCGGTCGTCTCAGCCATCTCTCTGCCAAGGAAGTCCAGCGCAGGGATCTTGAGTTCAAGGACACACCCTATCTACCTCTGGCCCTTCTTTCTCGCAGGCAGGGAGATCCCCTTCTACCCCTAGGAGGGCTCCTTTTAAGCCTAGTGAGATGGCAAAACGGGCCAATCCCGACATCAGGATTCTATACACCTCATTTGCATGGCCCCACCCCCACAAGGGTGTACCTCATTTGCATTATCAACAAACTATCCAATTCCCTTGGTGGGCCCCAAGCACCTCACATTTGCATAGTGCCACCCAGTGGTCTGGTGGGGGTCACCAAGACCACGGTAAGGAGTGCCAGAGCAAGCTATGCCCTACACTGCACCTTCTTGTTTTGTGTTGTTTGAAAGACTGGTCCCCTCTTTCCGGCACCTCTTCCCACAGCAACAATCATGCACACCTGTTTGCCCCAATCACCATGCCTGTGGTGACATGCTCACCGGTGGACGCTCCCTAAGGCTGTGCTTCAGTGAGGGAAGGGGCGGCCTGTGACTCCTCGGACACTCCCCACTGCGTGCCCAGGGTCTGCATCCAGGGCCTCATCCTCAGACCTCCCTGCCGCGGTGTGTTTGGCGCCCTCACAGGGATGGCGGGATGCCGCCCCCAGGCCCTGGCTCTGTCCCGTGTCCCCAGGTTTCTCAAGATGAAGTCACGCTATCTCCTCTGTCACCATTCCTCTGCCCTTCCTTTGCTTTAACCAAGCGGCAATTTCCTCAGTGAGTACAAGAGCGTCCGGGAATGGAAAATCCCGACTCCTAGCAGTAACCCACAAGAAGCGGGCAGAAGAAAGGCAGGTTTTATCTTTTAGCCGAGACAGCACCCTTCTGTATTCAAAAATAGATAAGGAAAAAGTAAACGACCACTACAGCCTTTTAAATGTTCATCAAATAAACCTTATGAGCAATTTTCAGGCCATTATTATTCTCTGGGGTTGAAATTTTCCACGCCTGTGTCCTTCCCAAAGGTGACGTTTTAGGGCAGTTTTACTGAAGTCAGCTCACCCATTCTGAGTCAGGAAGCAGAGACTCAGGTCCAGGTTAATTGTTGGAGTTTTTCCAAACTACACAATGAAAGCGAACTCAGGAAGGTTTCAGAACTTCCTCTGAAATGCACAGCCTGAAGAGTCACCAGCCTTGGACTTGCTAGGAGGAACACGGTGAGGAAGAAGCAACTTAGGACTGCACATCAGTGTGCTCATGGAGCCCTGAGCGGTAAGACCCGCTGCACCTGCACACAGGTGAGCCCCACACACCCAGAATCTGCTAGGGACATGGACATTGGAGAGGGCACCCCACCGGCATCTGTGGTGGCACTGGAGACAGGGCCCGGCCGCCCTCTCACTGCAAGGCTGCGACTGCTGGGGAGACAATCCTTCTTCTTGGGTTTGATCCACAATTAAGACCGGGCACTCAGGAGTCCACAGTGGAGTCATCCCACTGGCCTCACTGTAAACTGCAGCGTGGGGGCCCTTCCTGGGATGCCCAGCCCTGACACGGTTGTGTGCCGCTCTGCAGAGGATGTGGCTAGCTTCTTTCCCCATCTGTCCTCCAAAAAGATCTGCTGAAGTTCTAATCCCTGGAACACATGGCCTTGTTTGGAAACAGGATCTTTTAAAATGGAGTAGAGTGGGTCCAACCTCATCTAACTGGGGTCTCATAAAAGAGAAAAAGGGAAGAGCCTCAATGAGACAGACTGACACAGTGGCTGTGATGA